GCTGGACTTCGTAAATCGTATTGGAGTGGCTGTATGAAGGCTGCGACAGTGATTTGTCAGCAGATTTTCTCCATTTTGGCGCTAGTGATTTTCCTTCTAAAAATCTTTTTAAAAAGTGCTTCAAAATCGTCTTTTTTCCGCTCTGGCGTCGAGATCCGGTTTTGGAGCTACAATTTCCGACGCCGTTGCGCGTAGTTCTATTGTGCTTTGCAACTCAGTCTCTGCAGATCGCATTGTAATGGCTGCGTCAAGGTTGCTTCGTGCTGTGGCTGCATTCGTAATACTATTGTCTTTTGCAGCTGGATCTCGTAAATCGTCTTGGAGTGGCTGCATGAAGGCTGCGAAATGGGTTTGTTAGCAGATTTTCTCCATTTTGGCGCTAGTGATTTTCCTTCTAAAAATCCTTTTAAAAAGTGCTTCAAAATCGTCTTTTTTTCGCTCTGGCGTCGAGATCCGGTTTTGGAGCTACACTTTCCGACGCCGTTGCGCGTAGTTCTATTGTGCTTTGCAACTCAGTCTCTGCAGATCGCATTGTAATGGCTGCGTCAAGGTTGCTGCGTGCTGTGGCTGCATTCGTAATACTATTGTCTTTTGCAGCTGGATCTCGTAAATCGTATTGGAGTGGCTGCATGAAGGCTGCGACATGGATTTGTTAGCAGATTTTCTCCATTTTGGCGCTAGTGTTTTTTTGTTGGACGTACGTTTAGAGCAGTGCGAAGTGTCGGGCGTGAAGAGTGCAGTGTGAAGTGTGAAGTGTGAAGGAAGCAGTGGGAAGTGAGAAGTGTGAAGTGTGGAGTGTGAAGTTTCAGTTTGGAGTGCGAAGAGCGCAGTGTGAAGTGTGAAGTGTGAGGTTTGGAGTGTGAAGAAGGAAGCAGTGAGAAGTGAGAAGTGTGGACTGTGAAGTGTGAAGTGTGAAGTGTGGACTGTGAAGTGTGAAGTGTGAAGTGTGGACTGTGAAGTGTGAAGTGTGCAGTGTGAAGTGTGAAGTTTGGAGTGTGAAGGAAGCAGTGAGAAGTGAGAAGTGTGAAATGTGGAGTGTGAAGTGTGAAGTGTGAAGTGCGAAGTGTGAAGTGTGGAGTGTGAAGTGTGAAGTGTGAAGTGTGGACTGTGAAGTGTGAAGTGTGAAGTGTGGACTGTGAAGTGTGAAGTGTGCAGTGTGAAGTGTGAAGTGTGAAGTGTGAGGTTTGGAGTGTGAAGGAAGCAGTGAGAAGTGAGAAGTGTGGAGTGTGAAGTGTGAAGTGTGAAGTGTGCAGTGTGGAGTGCGAAGAGCGCAGTGTGAAGTGTGAAGTGTGAAGTGTGAAGTTTGGAGTGTGAAGGAAGCAGTGAGAAGTGTGAAGTGTGGACTGTGAAGTGTGAAGTGTGAGTGAAGTGTGGAGTGTGAAGTGCGAAGTGAGAAGTGTGAAGTTTGGAGTGTTAAGTTTGGAGTGGGAAGGAAGCAGTGAGAAGTGAGAAGTGTGAAGTGTGGACTGTGAAGTGTGGAGTGTGAAGTGCGAAGTGAGAAGTGTGAAGTTTGGAGTGTGAAGGAAGCAGTGAGAAGTGTGGACTGTGAAGTGTGAAGTGTGGACTGTGAAGTGTGGACTGTGAAGTGTGGATGTGAAGTGCGAAGTGAGAAGTGTTAAGTTTGGAGTGTGAAGGAAGCAGTGAGAAGTGTGGACTGTGAAGTGTGAAGTGTGGACTGTGAAGTGTGAAGTGTGAAGTGTGAGGTTTGGAGTGTGAAGGAAGCAGTGAGAAGTGAGAAGTGTGAAGTGTGGAGTGTGAAGTGTGGAGTGTGGAGTGTGAAGTTTCAGTTTGGAGTGCGAAGAGCGCAGTGTGAAGTGTGAAGTGTGAGGTTTGGAGTATGAAGGAAGCAGTGAGAAGTGAGAAGTGTGAAGTGTGAAGTGTGGAGTGTGAAGTTTGAAGTTTGGAGTGCGAAGAGTGCAGTGTGCAGTGTGCAGTGTGAGGTGTGGAGTGTCGAGGGAAGGACACGGTCGGGACAGGTTGTCTTTGAACTATAGGTCATTTATGTTTGGGAAACTTCCGCCGCCGGCTTGCCCGGGTCTATGTTATAAGTGTATACTGTGTATATACATATGCTCATGACAATTAATTTGCAGGACCTGCTATTGCTTGATGGGAGTCACAGTGCCACCCAAAAAAACAGCTCCATGTCAGGGGTGTCATGGGGGAAAGGTGTCGAGCTTCCTCGCAAGGTACTGGCTCTTCGCCATAGTTAGAAGTTAGAACTGTTCAACTGTTCCGAGCAAATGAAACTGCAAAGCTTCGTCCTGTCCTATCACTCTGCCAGCCCCACTTCATTCTGCCATGGCCATAGTGAATGGGAGAGGGCTATACGTTACCGTTCTGCAATCGCCCTTCAAACGCGTGAGGGCTCACGAGGCTTACATGCTTTCCGGCGCTTTGAAGGGCCAGTCCTTTGCAGAGCTGGGAGACTTCAGGCGCTTCACCGGGTTGGTCTGGCCACGGCCACAGTTGCTTTCAGCTTGGCCTCTGTGTGGCGCCACCGAGTAAGCTCCCGAAGGCTGTGTCAACTTCGCAGCGCCGCAGAAGATGCCGAGACTCTTGTAGCTTTTCGAGGAGTTTTGAAGCAGCATAGCTTGCAAGCCTACATTGTTCCAACTGATGATCCTCACATGTCCGAGGTTCCGCCAGATTGCTTTGCCAGAAGGAAGTTCCTCACAGGCTTCACCGGCTCAGCCGGCAGTGCAGTAGTCACTGGCTCTGAAGCCCTGCTTTGGACAGATGGCCGGTATTTTCAGCAGGCCAGTCTCGAACTGAGTAGCAGCTGGAAACTGATGAAGAGCGGATTGCCTTCGACTCCTTCGCTCGGCGACTGGCTTGCAAATAACTTGCAGAAAGGCGATGTGGTTGGCATCGATCCCAATGTGCATCCGGCAACATGGGCGAGAGAACTGCAGACGAAGCTTGAAAAGGTGGGAGTGGAGCTTCGTGCTTTGACCCCAAATTTGGTGGACGAGATTTGGGTGCAAAGACCAGCATGGCCTTCAGCAGCAGTTCGGGTTCATCCATTCGAGTTCGCTGGAGCAACCGTTGCAGACAAACTCACCAAAGTCAGAGATGAACTTTCCAAGAAACAAGTTGACCTACTGGCAGTGACCTCACTGGATGAAGTGGCGCAACTCTGATGACACAGCTTCCATTTGGTGATGCCAGTGCTATAATTGGGTTTGTTTTGGGTGGTTTTGGCTGAGATTCTTGGGGCTTGGGCTGTATGACATTGGTGGCAGGAAGGCAGACATTCTGCTATCTTGTATATCTATTGTATATCTATGTATATCTATGTGTATCTTGTGCTGATTGCTTGTCGGCGCACAAAGGTATTTGTTCAACATCCGTGGGGGCGATGTTCATCGCACACCAGCACCATGGCTCTTGAAGAAAGAGGAAATGGATGGAAATGGAAAGAACGGTGCAAGCAGTCATACTCAGAGACACTGTGACCGCCACCCCTGAGGTTGTTTTGGCCTATGGGATGGTTGAGCTAAATAGAGCTACTGTATTTCTGGACCACGGAAAGTTGGCGCCAGAGGCAAGAGTCTCGCAGCTAGTTGGAAGATGTTATAAGATGTTATAAGTAGGAAGGTTGTTAGATGTTTCCAGTTTCCATCATGATACTGAGAGACATGGTGAGGCATTGAAAGGCAGTTACAGAATGCTTTCACAAGTTGACTGGTCAGGTGTTGTCTCATTTGAAAGATGCGGAAGTGGAGGTCCGTGCGTACGAGGATTTTGCCTCCACGCTTCAGACGAAAGCCCGCGACGGATGCAAAGCTCCTTGTTCATACTTGTCATACTCATCATGCCACTGTTCATGATGCTTGTGAAAATATGTGAACATCCTTTGAAATCTGTGAAGAAATCACAGCTCCCCCAAGCACAGCTTTTTGCCTGGGTGATTTCAATCTTGTTCGCTTCAGGCCAGTGTTTTTCAGTTTCATTGAGCTGCATGAAAGCGCTATAGCCCTTGCATCCCTTGCTCAACATGACAATGCTCAAGGTTTGGATGGATATTCAAAGCAACTTGGATTTGTATGGATTTGTAAGGGAAGCTGGGGGGCCATGTTTGATCTGCTCCGAAAGCCAATCTCACTGTTTTCGATTGTTTTCGCTTCATGACCTTTGAACTCGTTCGATTTGCCTGTGAAAGGATCAAACTACGGCCTTTTCCTGGCAATGGGTGCTTCTGGGCCCAAAGCAACTCAAGCGGCAAGAACGGCTTGATGGTAGAGCACTGCAGTGCACAGATCAAATTATCTAAACTCTAAACCATTGTGGATATTGTATGATATTGTATGATATTGTAATATATTGTATTTCTGACAAAGCCCGGGGTGTTTTATTTAACCCATTCTGAGAGTACGGGTTAGGTACGGGTTAGGTACGGGTTCAAAATCAATACCCGAGGTCTTCAATCGAAAACCGAGGTTTTCTTATTTTTTCCGAAATATGTCAGGTTCTTGCGTTGACCCGAAGAATTGTTAGGGTTTTGGTTCTCCAGTATATATATTTATATATATATATATTGTGGGATCGACGCCTACTGTATGGGGCGGCGTGTGTTGTTTCAAGAGATGTGGGGTTCTTGACGGTTCTTGTAAGGAAACGCAAGCTTCACCAGTAGCTTCGATGAAGGTGTGGCTTCTGTTCGGTCAGCTTTCGACAGCTGAACTCAAGCCGCTCGAGATTGCATGGGTTTTGGCATGTCTTTTATCATCGGCTGATATTTTTCTCCAATGGCATGATGCCATGCTGGGCCATGATGATCATGATGGGCCATGCAGGTTCGCAAGAATGAGAGTGAGTTGGCTGGCATGGTTGCAGCACATCGCCGAGATGGTGCTGCAATGTGCGTTGCCTTATCAGAGTTGGAATTCTTGATGCAGAGCCACCAGCCAGTGAAGCGCAGCTGCAAACATTCCAAACTGTTCCAAAGTGCCTCTTGATCTTCTTGTACCGAAGATATTGCAAGATGTTGGAAGTTACAGGGTCACACCAGCTGCTGTTTTCCACTAAACTGAGTGCATCTAGATGCATATAGGGGGTGTTTTGTTCTATTTTGTTGAGTCTTCAGGACCGAGATGGATGTAGATCACATTGTGACAGCTGCGCGAGCCAAGCAACATGGCACCTAGCTTCGCACAAATGAGTCACAGGTTCATCAGACATTCTCTCAATGAATCAATCTACCGGTACAGTACCTTCATCTCACTGAATCTGGCAGCACACCGAGACGGGAAATTGCAAGAGAGAACTCCCATGGTCAAATCTGCTTTCCAAAGCAGCTTGATAGTCAAGGCTACTTGGACAACTCCTTTGACACCATTGCAGGGTTTGGTGCGAATGGCGCCATTGTACATTATGTTGCGCAAGTGGCTCGAAGATGTTGAGACATGGTGGGGGAAACGGAGGTGTTGGGCGGAACGGAATCCATTTGACATGGTTTGACATGGTTTGACATTGACTGGGGCCTCAACTCTTGAGGCTTCAAACGCGGCGACTCTTAGAGCCGACCTCGGTTTTGTCGATTTCAACTGAACGATCAGACACAAAACTTTTAATTTGACACCGTCTTGAACGGAACCAAGGCACAGATTCATTTCTATTGCTGGATTCCGGTGCCCAGTACGTTGATGGCACCACAGATGTCACTCGCAACCAAGCTGCATGCGATTTTAGCCTTAAAGTTGATCTTTAGCCACGCAGCACTTTTGACATCTTTGGACCGTGCGCAGTGCAAAGGAACAGTCCACTTTGGCGCCCCCACGGCTGAAGAACGTCAGATGACCAAGGGCCAAGGGTCTTCGGAGAGGACATTAGAGGACTGTAGATCGAGAACAGGCTCAAAATATTGCAAAACAACCTGCATTGAAACATATTGAAACCGCATGCAAAAATATAGAAGGTTATGCCGCCCGCAGCGACCCCGCGCAATTTGCAACTTGCCTTTTCAATTGTAGTTGCAATAACTAGTTTTGTGCCAGCGGGGGGAAAACCGCGCCAGCGTTTTGGCCGTTTTTGAAAACACACATATTTCATTCAGAACATGCACATCTCATGTTACGTCACTGGGTTGGGGGGGTGGGGATGTTAACGTTCATGTTAACTTGCGTCACATGCACATCTCACGTTACGTCACTGGGTTGGGGGGGTGGGGATGTTAACGTTCATGTTAACTTGCGTCACATGCACATCTAACGTTATCTCACTGGGTTGGGGGGGTGGGGATGTTAACATTCATGTTAACTTGCG